CTGTAAACAGTTCCTCTGAACAGTTCCTGTAAACAGTTCCTCAGAACAGTTCCTCTGAACAGTTCCTCAGAACAGTTCCTCTGAACAGTTCCTGTAAACAGTTCCTCTGAACAGTTCCTCTGAACAGTTCCTGTAAACAGTTCCTCAGAACAGTTCCTCTGAACAGTTCCTGTAAACAGTTTCTCAGAACAGTTCCTCTGAACAGTTCCTGTAAACAGTTCCTCTGAACAGTTCCTGTAAACAGTTCCTCTGAACAGTTCCTGTAAACAGTTCCTCTGAACAGTTCCTGTAAACAGTTCCTCTGAACAGTTCCTGTAAACAGTTCCTCAGAACAGTTCCTCTGAACAGTTCCTCAGAACAGTTCCTCTGAACAGTTCCTGTAAACAGTTCCTCAGAACAGTTCCTCTGAACAGTTCCTGTAAACAGTTCCTCAGAACAGTTCCTCTGAACAGTTCCTGTAAACAGTTCCTCAGAACAGTTCCTCTGAACAGTTCCTGTAAACAGTTCCTCAGAACAGTTCCTCTGAACAGTTCCTGTAAACAGTTCCTCTGAACAGTTCCTCTGAACAGTACCTGTAAACAGTTCCTCAGAACAGTTCCTCTGAACAGTTCCTGTAAACAGTTCCTGTAAACAGTTCCTCAGAACAGTTCCTCTGAACAGTTCCTGTAAACAGTTCCTGTAAACAGTTCCTCAGAACAGTTCCTCTGAACAGTTCCTGTAAACAGTTCCTCTGAACAGTTCCTGTAAACAGTTCCTCAGAACAGTTCCTCTGAACAGTTCCTCAGAACAGTTCCTCTGAACAGTTCCTGTAAACAGTTCCTCAGAACAGTTCCTCTGAACAGTTCCTGTAAACAGTTCCTCTGAACAGTTCCTGAACAGTTCCTGTAAACAGTTCCTCAGAACAGTTCCTCTGAACAGTTCCTGTAAACAGTTCCTCTGAACAGTTCCTGTAAACAGTTCCTCAGAACAGTTCCTCTGAACAGTTCCTCAGAACAGTTCCTCTGAACAGTTCCTGTAAACAGTTCCTCAGAACAGTTCCTCTGAACAGTTCCTGTAAACAGTTCCTCTGAACAGTTCCTGTAAACAGTTCCTCAGAACAGTTCCTCTGAACAGTTCCTGTAAACAGTTCCTCTGAACAGTTCCTGTAAACAGTTCCTCAGAACAGTTCCTCTGAACAGTTCCTCAGAACAGTTCCTCTGAACAGTTCCTGTAAACAGTTCCTCTGAACAGTTCCTCTGAACAGTTCCTGTAAACAGTTCCTCAGAACAGTTCCTCTGAACAGTTCCTGTAAACAGTTTCTCAGAACAGTTCCTCTGAACAGTTCCTGTAAACAGTTCCTCTGAACAGTTCCTGTAAACAGTTCCTCAGAACAGTTCCTCTGAACAGTTCCTCAGAACAGTTCCTCTGAACAGTTCCTGTAAACAGTTCCTCTGAACAGTTCCTCTGAACAGTTCCTGTAAACAGTTCCTCAGAACAGTTCCTCTGAACAGTTCCTGTAAACAGTTTCTCAGAACAGTTCCTCTGAACAGTTCCTGTAAACAGTTCCTCTGAACAGTTCCTGTAAACAGTTCCTCAGAACAGTTCCTCTGAACAGTTCTCTGTCTCCTGCAGCTCTACAGTCTGGCGTCTCGCTCCAGCAGCCTCAGTGACCATAAGGTTCAGTTTGTGGCGTTCCCGGCGGCTCTGGCCTTCAGACACAAGTTCATCTACAGGAGCCCGGAGCTGCCAAATATCCTCAGGTAGGCTCTGATCCGAGGGTCTGACTGGATCCTGGTTCTGTTTGGTTCTGACCCGTTCTGATCGGTTCCAGTGATTTCCTGGGAGCGGCTCATCCCGCCGTGGCGTGACGACGGCTCGTCTTGATGGATTGAGCGTTCCTGTTAGCATTCCCGACGTTCCGGCTGACGGTACGGCGACCACGATTTATTTCTCACCTTCGTGGTTTGCTCCTCCTCACCGTCGGCAGGAAACTGTTTTCCTCTTCTGACTTGAAATATGAATTAAATCTGGTTTTATGTAGCTGAGCCTCCTTCACTGACCTGTGGATGGTTCTGGTCAAACCGGACCTTATCACTCCTCCAGAACCTCCAGACGTTCAGGAGATTCTCTCCTCTCAACAGTTCTGGTTCCGCAGGATTTAAGAAACCGGTCCGGTTCTGGTACCAATTGCACAGCAGCAGGAAACAGGAAGTGATGTCATCCTTCCTGAACGTCTAGCTGATGAAGAAGCTAACCTGAACCAGCGCTGGGTGGTAGACTGGTGTCGGTCTTTAACTGGTTCTGACCAGCAGTGTGCACGCTTATGCTAATTCACTAATAGTGGAGCTAAATGTTAGCTTAGCATTTAGACTTTTTGCTAACTTTGTAAACATTTAGCACACTTAGTTTCCCTTAAATTAATTATTCATTAATTTACTCTTTCGTATCAACTGCTAAAAATTCTTCCAGTTAGATGGGTATATTCATGCTCTTATTTTGAAGGGGTTGACATCGTTCTGTTACCTCACTTCTCTGGTTTTTCAGAATTCTGTTTAGCAAACAGGAAGTAAACAAAAGAACAAATCAAGAATTCAATCAGAATATTTAGCAACTACACTAGCTTCTAGCATTTTAGCTTCTGCTAAACGCCATGTTGACCTAGCGCTTTAGCATCAACCAAACTAATGGTTGATGCTAGGGTTAGCGAGCTAGTTTTTTAGCTAGCAGTCCCGTCACTGGTCTGGTGCGTTGACCTTTAGACGACCTGACGGTTCTTCATGCTGAAGCTCAGAACTTGTTTTGTTTTGGTCCCAAACGGACTCTGAAGGCTCTAAGCCGTCTGCTGTTTTACAGAACCAGTACCAGTTTAAAACTGGACCCAGTTTGACCTCAGAGCTGGACTCTCCAGTGAACTTATAAAACCTGAACAGAACCAGTCAGGTTTCATGACAGGTTCACAGGTTCATGAGTCCAGAACCAGTGGAGGTTCTGGACCTCAGTTTGAACCCAGATTCTGGAGTCAAACTAAGCAGAACCACAAACTTTTGTTCTAATTTAGAAAGTAATTTTATTCTACTGGACCAATCAGAACATGTTGGCGGTTCTAGAGAGTTGTTCTTCTCCAGAGGAACCAACAGCGGTTCTGGCCGGGTCTGATTCAAACTGTGCACTGATGCATTCTGGGAAAAATCAGACTACAAAATGCGACATCGCCCTGGTGTGTTCAGTTTATTTTATTTTTTCAAAAGTGGGAACAGAGAGGAGCAAAGTTGAGCTGAGCGGTTCTGATCGGTGTGGTGAATCGAGGTTCTCGGTGAAAATGGGTCAAAGTATCAGAGCTGGAGGACAAACTTTCAGTCATTTTCACTTTAGAAATGTAATAAATGTTTGCTTTATGATCAACTCTGATCTGAACAATTGTAAGTTTGATTTCACAGTTTTAAAGTTGGGGGGTAAAATCTAGGTTTCGGATTGTTCCTGAAAGCATCGTTCCATCCCCCTGCTGAACATGAACCGGTTTGCAGGTCACTGACATGAGGGACGTTATTAACTCATTGATTTGGCTGAAAACCAAATACTGAAATATTTAACTTGCTAATAATTTAGTTAGCTAGTTAATGCTAATGTTTAGATGAGCTAGCTGAATATTTAGCTCAGAAACTAAATAACTGAATAACGTGGTGAAAATATGAAACTTGGGCTTTTCACTGATAGATTAAATTGTTTAAATTATTGCTGCTAATTTTTAACAGTTAACTTTAGAAACGAGTTTACAGCTGATCCCCATGGAGCTACGAACGAATCTATCACAAAACAGAGACATGCTTTATGAACATTAAAATCTTTATGTGACGTATATAAATGTCCCAGATGAATAATAATTAACCAGAGAAGTTATTATGTTTTCAGGACAAAAGTCCTGAAAAACTTCCACAGACACTGAAACTTTAATCACTGGAGGTTCAGGTCTGACCAGTTAACAATGTTAACTGGTTTAACTGGGAGCCACGCCTGGCCCAGTCTGCAAACAAGATAAACAAAAAAATATCCAATAAGGTCATAAACATGAGCAGATGTACGGTTCACAAATAAATCCCCAATACTGGGTCGATTCTGGAGGGAAACCCAGTGGGTCAGAACCGCCAGCAATGCTGCTGAATACATGGAACATAAAATGAATTATTCTGATGTTTATGAGACAGAAATAACTTTGATCCCGAACAGAACCAGGAGAACGTTCTCTGACTGTCAGAATTTAAGGATCAACGATTCAGACGGTTGGACATGTTCATGTCCAATATGGAGGACCGGAACTGGGGCCCTGGTTCCCTCCCCCTCCCGGCCCAGTTCCCCCTCCCGGCCCGGTTCCCCCTCCCGGCCCGGTTCCCCCTCCCGGCCCGGTTCCCCCTCCGGGCCCGGTTCCCCCTCCCGGCCCAGTTTCCCTCCCAGCCCAGTTCCCCCTCCCGGGGCTCCAGGAGGAAAGACACTCAGGCTCCGCCCACTGGGAGGAAGGGCGGGGCTATCAGTGGAAGAGGTCTCATTCTGCTGGTTTTCCCAGGAACGTTTGTCTGAATCCTGAGTTTAAATGGGATCTACATTCTCAGTGACGCCAAAGGAAGATGGTTAATGAGTTGAACTTACGGAGCGATTTCCAATCATTATGACCAACAGAATGCTTTTACACTTTGGGAACAGTCCATGTTGGGCATCCAACACGTTTAGGCTAATATAAGGCCAAATCTGCAACCTTGATAAATGCTTATTTTGTGGAAAGAACACAGAAACAATACATTTTGTTTTCTAAAAGAAACAAATCCCATCAAATATCTTTGGAATAATGTGGATTAAACCAAACATTAAAGTTCCTGAATCTGTTTCTGGAGGTACAATAACATTTGGTTCTTCTAGAAAAATAAAGCTGTTTGTAATCTTATAATCGAACATTTTGTCTGGTGAAATTCTTTATTCTCAAGCTGAAGCCGCCATCTGTCACATCTCTGCTCTGAATCCCAGTTTCATTTAAATCTCTAATATTGATTAAAACGTGAAGAGCTGAGAAATATTAATAGAATCATCATCTATCAATGCCTGTTTGTTCTAAAACGTTCTTCCTTATTTGTGCTGTTATGAGTTGTGCTTGGTGTTTAATGAGTTTCACTGCCTGCATGTTGCAGATGATTTCAGCTGATCACATTAATGCAGCGAAACTGAACAGAACCTGAACAGAACCTGAACAGAACCGGGCAGCAAACACCAACTGTTACAGATTTGCACATTCCAGGTTTGGGAATGTTTTGGTAAATTAAGTTAAAAAAAAATAAAACGTTTCATCAAACCCTGAGCGTAAATTAGATTTTGATGAGGTCAGAGGTCAGACCGGGTTAGAACCCGGCCAGAACCGCAGGGACCGAACCAAACCTACATACTGGACCCAAACGGTTCCGTGGGTCCAAAAGCTTGGAGTGACGCATCTCCTCTCAGAGCAGCTGTGACTCTGCGTCATGACGTCAGCGGCAGAGCGTCAGCCGCCCTGCTGAATAAAGCGCCTCTCTGTCAGATGTTCTGGGTTTCGGGTTCGGACGAACTTCCAGCGGGATTCTGAGTCCAGGTGAATCAGTCCGTTCGGAACCGCTCCGTTTCCGCGTCACGTGATCCCAGCTGCTTCTGACGTGTTTCGCAGTAAGGAGTCGTTTTCATGCGGTTCGTGTTTCCGAACCGGCCGGTTCTGCTCTGAGCTGCGGAGCAGCAAAACGGGAACATATTTTTACCCAAACGAGTGAAAAGTACCGGTCCAGAAAGTGTTTGGTACCAAGTACTGAAAGTAACATCAGAACTTCAGTCACTGAATATGTTAAATGACGTCATCATCAGACGCCAGAATGCAGATATTCAGTTCATCCAGTGAGCAGAAACTTCATCAGTGGAGGAAAAAATAATTCACTGTAAAATCAAGTAAAAGTTCATCATGCATGTGTCATGTATGATGAAGCTCTGGAAGAAGATCATCATGTTTGTGACGCATCAGCTTCTACAGTTCTAGAAAATAAGGTCAAAGGTTAATGAGGAAGAATCGTTCTGTCTTCATGAGAGAGAGACGATTGAAGCTAACGGTCTGAGCTAGCGCTGAAGCTAACGGTCTGAGCTAGCGCTGAAGCTGACGGTCTGAGCTAGCACTGAAGCTAATGGTCTGAGCTAGCACTGAAGCTGACGGTCTGAGCTAGCACTGAAACTAACGGTCTGAGCTAGCACTGAAGCTAATGGTCTGAGCTAGCACTGAGCTAATGGTCTGAGCTAGCACTGAAGCTAATGGTCTGAGCTAGCACTGAAGCTAATGGTCTGAGCTAGCACTGAAGCTGACGGTCTGAGCTAGCGCTGAAGCTAATGGTATGACCTAGCATTGAAGCTACATTCAGGCTAACAGCATCAGAGTGATTGTGACAGTTAAAGTTCCCACCATGATGATCCGATCAGGATTTACCAATAAATCAGATAAATTTGATCCAATAATTAGATGAGGGAGGCTAAGAATGAGGATAATTACACCTGAATCAAAGATGGCCGCTCTGTGCTGAGACGAATGTGAAAACTGAAATAATTGGAATCTAATCCTGCAGCAGCCAGAATGAATCAATCTGAATCAGAACTGTGAACCTTCTGTGTAGTGCGGACCAGACTGGTTCTGGTTCTGCTGACGGCCATCTTGTTTCAGTCAGGATGTCGACGACGTCTCAGAAACACCGCAACTTTGTATCGGAGCCGATGGCGGACAAACCGGTCACGGCGCTGGCCGGGATCGGAGACAGACTGGGCCACAGCCTGATGGAGCAGGGCTACGATAAGGTAGAACCCGACAGAACCACCGACCCGCTTAAAAAGGCACTGTGCATTCACTACTTGACCCAGTTTGACCCCTAGTTCTGGTTCTGAACCATCAGTGTCTGCAGGGATCAGAAATGGGTCAGCCCTGAGCTGAACTTCTGACCTGGTTCTGTTTCCAGGCCTACGTGGTTCTGGGTCAGTTCCTGCTGCTGAGGAAAGACTCAGAGCTGTTCTGCTATTGGCTGAAGGACGTCACCGCAGCCAGTAGCAAGCAGGCTGAAGACTGCGCCCAGTGCCTGAAGGAGTGGTGCGACGCCTTCCTGTGAAGACGCCCCGCCCACCACACGGAGGCCCCGCCCACCACGGAGGCCCCGCCCACCACGGAGGCCCCTCCCACCACACAGAGGCCCCTCCCACCACACAGAGGCCCCGCCCACCACACAGAGGCCCCTCCACCACACATAGGCCCCGCCCACCACACAGAGGCCCCGCCCATCACATAGGCCCCGCCCACCACACAGAGGCCCTCCCACCACACAGAGGCCCCGCCCACCACACTGAGGCCCCTCTCACCACATAGAGGCCTCTACTGTTCCCGCTCTGCGTTGCTGTTCTGAGCTGCCAGATATTTTCCTCCTTATTCTGTAAAAGTTTGTCATTAAATCTCTTTGCCCAGATGTTTGTCTGATTCCTGATGAAGGTTCGTCTGAGCTGCAGGTGAGGGGATCCTAGACGGGCTTGGATCAGAGTTCTGGTCCAATGTTTCAGAACGGACTGAAGGTTCTGGAGCTACTCCTTCGGTCCCAGAACCTTCTAGATCAGGGGTCTCCCAGTCCCGTCCTCACGGGCTGGTTTGTCTGGCAACAGGGAGCTACGCTAGCATTAATGCTAGCAACAAAATGTTAGCTTAGCAATAAAGCTAAGCTAACTCCATCAGAGTCAACGTGACGTTAAAATGTCCCGATGACGATCTGATCAATATTTACCAATAAATCAGATCTAAACTTCAGTGAGAAACTAAACAGACTGCAGCTGGGGTCAAAGTTCACAGCTTTATTCACAAAGAAAACCCAAAAGAACCAGTCCAAGAGTCCAATTCAGGGATGGGCAACTTCAGGTCTGAAGGTCTCCTGCAACTTTTAGATGCATCTCTACTTCAACACACCTGAGTCAAATAATGAGGTCAAATAATGAGGTCAATAGCAGAACCGGACCGGACCGGACCGGACTTGGGAGGTGATTCAGCATTTTGATTCAAGTGTGTTGGACCAGAGAAACGTCCAAGAGTTGTAGGGCACCGACCCTCAAGGACCAGGAGTGCACCCCTGGTCCAATTAGTACCGTTCAGAACCGGACCTGGACCTGTCAGTACCGCTCAGCGGTTCTGGTCCAGAACCAACCCAGAAAGTAAGGTTTATAGGTCACAGCTTTTGTAGGTCTCCATGGCATCTTGACAATCCAGCTGCAGGTCAGAGGTCGCCTGGATCAGAACAGGATGTTGTGTGGAGCCCTTCAGAATAAAAGCATCAGCGTCTCCTGAGGGCCTCCAGGTGTTGGAAGATGGCGCCGAGGGCCCAGCTGGCCTCCACCTGGCGGACGGTGCGGGCCAGCTGCAGAACCAGAGCACAGGACAGATCGGTTCCGGGTCAGAACCGAGTCAGACGGTTCTGGCGGTCCAGACTCACCCTGAGCTGCTTGTGGGCCGGGAAGCCAAGCTCCTGCAGCAGCACCGAGATGTAGACCAGGTCCAGACACAGGAACGGGTTCTGGAGGTCCGGCGGGCCGCGGCACACTGCAGACAGCCGACCAATCAGAGACAGGCAGTGGGTCACATGACTTCCTGGAGGCTTTTTATATGAGTGATGTATTTTAACAAATTCACTTGGTGTTTCTGTATTTAATAACAGATAAAAATGTTTTTACATTTGATATAAAAAGGTTTGGCAACATTTTAATAAAAATGTTTAACATTCTGTAAAAATTTGATCTGGAAGAACCTCCAGGTTCTGGTTCTGCTGGACCCGACTCCTAATTGAGATGAAGTTAGCAGCAGGGAGTGGAAGCTGCCGCCAGAGGGCGCCCTCTCACCTCTCTCCGCAGCCTGGCCGTAGTCCGACACTCTGATGGTTCCACCCGCCGCCTCATCTGCAGAACCAGAACCACAACGTGAGAAACCAGCACTGAGGTTCTGATCCAAACAGAACCAGAACCCGTCTCATCCTGGATCTGCAGTAAACACAGGAGGTCGGGTCCTCTCCAGCCTGACCTCTGACCTCTGTGCACCACCAAGGATCTGCGCCTGCTGTCTGTTGTCCTGACCAATCAGAGCGCAGCATCCTGTAACCAGGTAAAACGATCCTACTGATTCTGAAGAGTTTTAATCCTGGAAGCTGATTGGGCAGAAGCAGCCGCGTTCGTTGTCAACCAATCAGCAGCCAGTTTAACCATTCAGCCTGTTGCTGCTGTACTGCTTTTCAAATATATCCAGAAAATATCAAATCGCTTATCTGGTATCAACAGAGTTTAATATTATTAATTAATATTATTGCATTTTGTCAAATGCAATAATAAGTTTATGAGAAGCTGCTTTTCCAGTTACTGTAGATCCTCAGAGACTTTAACTAGGAACAAATTAAAAAGATTAGATTGAAATATTTCAATTTTCCAAAATAAAGGAAATGCAATGTAAAATTCTAAACAAAATTTATCCAACTAATGATTTCCTAGATTTGGATAAATGTGAACTGTAAAAAAAGCAACTAAATATTTAGATAATCTGTTTTTCACATGTGAAATTGTTTGATGTTTCTGTAAAGATCTGCAGTCACTGTTTAATCAATGATCAGATCATTGATTATTATATAAACAATGTTTTATTAGCCATCCATAAACTACTATACCTAATTTTATACAGTGGACGAATTCATGTTTGTTTGGTGAAGTAGAAAAATGCTTTGAAGTTGATCTTTTTTGAAAACTTTCAGACTTTAATGTCCCTCCCTGTTTTATTTCTTAGTTTTTCTTCATGTTTTTTCATGTAAATACAGCAGCACTAAAGTCCTGCTGTATTGAAGTGTCTGTTGTTTTCGTTCTGTTGGCCTTTATGTGTTTACTGTGAATTCATAATGTAAACATTATGATTCCTTAATCAAGTTCATTATATATGTTTATATAAATAATGATAAAGTTTTACCAGTTGCCCTGCTAGCTAACCAAAATGTAGCGATGGATGCTAATGCTAGCTAACTGCTCAGAAACCATATGGAAGCCAACACTAAATCAGATCCATCACTGCAAACTGAGAATCAATAATCCAAACAGTTATTGATTTCTAATAACTGATTTCTGTTCCATCCGCTGCTCTGGACTCTTCAAACCTCACCAGGACATTATGGCAACAACAGACAGTTACATCTAAATCTAGTTTGATTAGCAGACATCACTAGCCGAGCCGGAGCTGCAGCTGCTCTCCGTACCGATGGCCTGAAGGTCGACGGCGCGGTCGTAGTAGAAGGAGAAGGCGTAGAAGTCGACGTCCGCCGCCTCAGGCGCCGCGCTCAGCTTCCTGTACAGAACCTTCTGGACTTTGTTCAGGCACGCCTCGTAAACTGGCTCCCCTGGAAACGCAGACAGACAGAACCAGACAGTTCCTACCTGTCGCAAGCTGGGAAATGTCACAGACCAGTCAGATGCCTCCACCTTCCTTCTGGCCCTTCAGGGTGTAGACGACGTCAGCGTGCTCCCAGTTGCCCGAGAACCCTGGAGCAAGGCAGGGGCTGACCCGCTCAGTGCTGCCCCCTGCTGCAGGAACACAGAAACACATGCTAGCCTTTAGCTACAGGAAGCAATGCCAGGCACTTCCTGTTTCCTGTTCCAGCCTGAAAACACAGCTAGCCACAGGAAGTCAGACAGGAAACACACAGAACCAGATTTTAGTTCAACATGGGTCATTTCACACACCCAGTTTACAGAACCAGAAACGGACCCAAAAATGACTCATGACTTAAGTCCAGGTCAAAGGTCAAATACTTACAGGGGGGAACGTCCACGCCTCCAAGGACAGCGAGCCGAGCCGACAAGAGACCCAAACCCAGATAGCTGCAGACAGACAGGAAGTCACTGACCGACGGGTCCAGGTAGACGGTGTGTGTACCTGTGTGTGTACCTGTGTGTGTGTGTACTTGTGTGTGTGTACCTGTGTGTGTGTGTACCTCTGTGTGTGGACAGTGTGTGTGTGTACCTGTGTGTGTAGATGGTGTGTGTGTGTACCTGTGTGTGTGTAGACGGTGTGTGTACCTGTGTGTGTACCTGTGGTGTGTGTACCTGTGTGTGTGTGTACCTGTGTGTGTGTGTACCTCTGTGTGTAGACAGTGTGTGTGTGTACCTGTGTGTAGATGGTGTGTGTGTGTACCTGTGTGTAGATGGTGTGTGTGTGTACCTGTGTGTAGATGGTGTGTGTGTGTACCTGTGTGTGTGTGTACTTGTGTGTGCGTGTACCTGTGTGTGTGTACCTCTGTGTGTAGACAGTGTGTGTGTGTACCTGTGTGTGTAGATGGTGTGTGTGTGTACCTGTGTGTAGATGGTGTGTGTGTGTACCTGTGTGTGTACCTCTGTGTGTGTACCTCTGTGTGTAGACAGTGTGTGTGTGTACCTGTGTGTGTGTGTACTTGTGTGTGTGTGTACCTGTGTGTGTGTACCTCTGTGTGTAGACAGTGTGTGTGTGTACCTGTGTGTAGATGGTGTGTGTGTACCTGTGTGTGTAGACGGTGTGTGTACCTGTGTGTGTGTGTACCTCTGTGTGTAGACAGTGTGTGTGTGTACCTGTGTGTGTAGACGGTGTGTGTGTGTACCTGTGTGTGTGTGTACCTGTGTGTATAGACAGTGTGTGTGTACCCGTGTGTGTAGATGGTGTGTGTGTACCTGTGTGTGTAGACAGTGTGTGTGTACCTGTGTGTGTAGACAGTGTGTGTACCTGTGTGTGTAGACAGTGTGTGTATGTACCTGTGTGTGTAGACAGTGTGTGTGTACTGTGTGTGTGTACCTGTGTGTGTAGACAGTGTGTGTGTGTACCTGTGTGTGTAGACAGTGTGTGTGTACCTGTGTGTGTGTGTGTACCTGTGTGTGTAGACGGTGTGTGTGTACCTGTGTGTGTAGACATTGTGTGTGTACCTTTGTGTGTAGACAGTGTGTGTGTACCTGTGTGTGTAGACATTGTGTGTGTACCTTTGTGTGTAGACAGTGTGTGTGTACCTGTGTGTGTAGACATTGTGTGTGTGTACCTTTGTGTGTAGACAGTGTGTGTGTACCTGTGTGTGTAGACATTGTGTGTGTGTACCTGTGTGTGTAGACGGTGTGTGTGTACCGGTGTGTGTAGACATTGTGTGTGTGTACCTTTGTGTGTAGACAGTGTGTGTGTACCTGTGTGTGTAGACATTGTGTGTGTGTACCTGTGTGTGTAGACGGTGTGTGTGTACCTGTGTGTGTGTACCTGTGTGTGTAGACGGTGTGTGTACGATTGAACATCTGGAAGGATCTGATGTCATTAATCGGCGATGTCTGGATGGTTTTCTGTAATGAAGAGAGAACAGATTCTGGTTCTGGTTCTGGTCCGGGTTGGAGACCACCTGGCCTGTGATCAGAACCGTCCTCACCTCATGGCGGGGGCTGAAGGTGATCTGGGTCGAACCGCCGCCGAGGTCCAACATCCCAACGGTGGGCCGGTCCAGACCCTGCAGCCCGCCTGGAACCAGAGCACAGCTTTAACAGAACCGGGCCAGAACCGGGTTCAGAGCTCCAGATCCCATGTCACCCAGGTAAGTGAAGGCACCAACAGGACCTCTGGCCTGGTTCTCTGCTGGTCCAGAACTGGTTTAAGACAGGTTCTACCTGCTCCCCTCCAGAGAACAGAACCGATCTGGACCGACCGGCCCGGTTCTTCAGAACCACCGGTCGTTGGATGTGTTGGATCAGAACTTTCTGTTTTTGCTCACCTGTCAGGAAGTTGATGGTGATCCAGGCTGAGATCCCTGAGGAGAGAAGAACCGGGTCAGGTTCTGAAACATCACCAGAACCATTCCTCCAGGTTCGGGTGGTTCTGGACGTTCCAACCTCCTGGTTCAGAACCTAACCCAGGAATCCCAGGTTCTGGAACCGGGCCGGTTCTCCAGAACCTAATCCTTTTAAAGGTGTTCATAAGCAGTCCATGTGGGTCAGAACCGGGTTCAGAACAGGGTTCACCGTCCGTTTGTCTGGGATCACATAGCTCCTCCAGCACCGGTACCACCGGTACCGGCCCAGATCACCAGGGCCTCCTAATAAACGATGTTCGGTCCGGTCCGCTAACGGATCTGCTCTGGATCCCAGACCCGGTCTAATCTGAAGTCCAGATCATCAGGCTGAGGTTCTGATAGAACCTGACTGACCCAGTTGGGTCGGGTCGTGTTGCTTGGAGACGGATCAGGGTTTACAGAAGGTGCAGCAGGGTCAAAGGTCACGGCTGAAAGGCTACGACAGCGACCCGATGGAGGGACCTGCTGGTTCTGTTCTGTTCGGTGAATGTTCTGATGGACCAGAACCCATTTCCCACCTGCTGACCCGGTTCCTGAGAACCTGGACAGGTTCTCCAGAACCAGCTGATCCGACCCGGTTCTGGTGCAGACATACCTTCGTCGGTTCCGTCCATGATGGACACGCTGTCCTCTGTGGACAGGAAGGGAGACTCCTGGAACAGCGCCCTCACCTGGACAACGAGAGAACTGGGTCAGAACCGAACCAGACAGAACTTGCATGGTTCTACCAGAACCTCCCAACCAAGGCTTCCGGGTCAAACAGAACCGGGTCAGAACCTCACCCGGTCCAGCAGCTGCTCGGCCTTGTCACCAGGCAGCAGCCTCAGGCCGGCCGTGGCCTTCAGAACCACGGGGGTTCTGGTCCACTGGGACGGGGGGACGACGGACCGAGCCAGGTCCAACAGCACCACGATGCCGGCGGAGCACTGCAGAGACGAGACGACGCGTCATCGATCAGAACCAGAACCGGACCCGGGTTGACCCGGTTTTCCCTCTGACCTTCTGTGGATCGTCGGCGTACGCGGACAGGCCCGGTTCTATGGCCCGGAACGTCTCCCGGTCCAGACTAGGAAACCCTGAGGAGGGGGAACAAACCCAGTTTAGCACGACCAGAACCAGAACCTCAGTTTGTCCCAGTTAACAGCGGTTAGAACCTTCAGAACGACCAGAACCCGGTACCTGGGTTCTCCATCTGGAACCGGAACACGTGGACTCTGGTCCCAGTGCTCCCAGCATCAAACATGACTCCGTACTGGAGTCCGTCTCCTTCAGAGGAACCGGGACGGTCCGGTCCAGTTCTGTGTGAGGCGGGTCGGTGCGGCGGCGGCCGGTAGGAGGAAGAGGAGAACCGCTGGAGGAGGAGGAGCAGAACCAGAACCAGGAGGACGAACAGGGCGGCCATCTTGGATCTCATCCTGGAACCACACAGAACCTTCAGCAAGCGCAGAACCGTTCTAGACGGTTCTGCTCAGGACCAGCTTAAACAGTCTGATGACCCAGTTCTGGTTCAGCTCCAGGTTGTGGGTCAGAACCACCAGAATGGAACCGGTCCGGAATCTGAAAAGTTCTGCTGTAGTTTCATCTGACCCGGTTCTGGGTCCAGATGTCCTCACGAGGTTCTGCTCAGTTTATCTGATCTGTTTGGTCCAGAACCAGAACCTTTATGGTTACCAGCTGGTTCTGAGCCCGGTTCCGTTGGTCCAGTTCACCTGGTGAGAACAGCCCGGAGGCGGAACCGAACCTGAAGCTTTACGATGAACCGAACCGGGTCAGGGAGCAGAACCTCAGAAAGAGGGAAGCAGAACTCACCTGGTTCCGAAGGGAAGCAGCTGGCTGAATTCGAGCCCAGGTTCCGATTCGGTTGTGACAATGATGGCGTACCGAACCGGGTCAGCTGGACTCCAGCAGGACCTACCGGTACCGACCCGGCCAAGTTCCGGATAAACTACATTCCTCTGTTTACAACCGGCGCGCACTGATGACGTCAGGCCACGCTCGGTGACGTGGCCGGTCATACGTCGTTATAAATTATAGATTTAATTTACACATGTGTTTCCTGTGAAATATAAATTTCTATTTATGAATAAACATGATTCCAAATAAAACATGGAGGCTGTGACAGCCAGCAGCTACGGAGGCCTGCAGGGGACATGCGCGTTTTCTTTTTTGCGTTCTCTCGCGATAATCTGCTGATCAGTTATGCGGCATAATTCAAACTGGGAGCCTCTCTGACAGGTTTCTGCTTTAATAAAAGGTTTTTCCATGAATGTTAATGTCTCTCTGTGAAAAATCTAAATATTTAAAATCTTTTTCTTCAGGATAGAAAGGAACTAAAAACCTGATATCAACAGAAACTTTCCGTAAGAAGGAAAGAAATTAAAATAAACCCCAATTTGAATTATTTCTGAGTTATTATCGCGGGTAATAAATCATCTGTCAGTTTTGATTTAATCTGTTTTCTAGTCTGAATGGTTTTCATGTTCAGTTTCCATCTCAACCATAACAAACATAAACATGCAATAAATAAATCGATTTTCAATCAGTGTTTTCACTGAGGCTCTATAAGAGCCATATGAATGAAATAACTAATTATTGATATGACAGCAGCAGAGGCTTTGATACCTGGTGGTGGGCGTGTCCATGTGGGCGTGACGTCATCAGGTATGAAAGCGGGTCACTTTCCTGCTGGCTGTGTGAGGAAGCGGTGACCTCACTCAGTCCTGGCTGTCTGGAGCCTGATAATCAAACTGGAATAAATCGATAATTGGGACAGAACAAAGAATTGATTTAACCCTTGACCACCATGAGGTTACTGTGTTTTAGAATAATAAAACGTGTTTATTATTATTAAGAGCTGATTGAAAATTGATTTATTCACTGCATGTTTATGTTTGTTAAGGTTCAGATCAGGTAAGAGGGGGGGGGGGGTAATTTTTCAAAAAGATAATTTTTGGTGCCAAAGCTGGAGTCGGCTTGCTACTGTCAGGGGGGGGGGGCTGAGCACCTGCCTCTTTTGCTCCATGACCCCAAGTGCCCTTTTGGACTTTTTTTTTAATTTCTGACACATGTACTACAATTGTTATAATAATAATAATAATAATTATTATTATTTTGCAAGCCCTCCGGTCACATTGTTACCTTTGACCTTTTGCCCGTGACCCACGACGCACTTGCCTGTCGCACAGTGAGATAAGGCGGTTAACTGCGGAGCTCAAGCTAGCAAACATCCAGAGATTACAGAACAGTTTTTGGTGAATTAAAAAAGATAATTTTGGTGCCAAAGCTGGAGTCGGCTTGCTACTGTCAGAAACGGAAAACGTTGAACGTTGTATCGTTTTTCCTTCACCACGGAGTGGCGGCTTCAGTAGAGAAGTAATGAAATATAACAAGACAGGCAGAGGAAAATATAGGGCGCTCTCTGAGTCCGCCTTTCTCTAAGATCTGCTGAGCGGGAGGAGGCTGCAGGTGAGGCAGCAGGTGATGCAGCAGGTGAGGCAGCAGGTGAGGCTGCAGGTGAGGCTTCAGGTGAGGCAGCAGGTGATGCAGCAGGTGAGGCAGCAGGTGAGGCAGCAGGTGAGGCAGCAGGTGAGGCAGCAGGTGAGGCAGCAGGTGAGGCAGCAGGTGACGCAGCAGGTGAGGCAGCAGGTGACGCAGCAGGTGAGGCAGCCAGGTGAGGCTGCAGGTGAGGCTTCAGGTGAGGCAGCAGGTGATGCAGCAGGTGAGGCAGCAGGTGAGGCAGCAGGTGAGGCAGCAGGTGACGCAGCAGGTGAGGCAGCAGGTGAGGCAGCAGGTGACGCAGCAGGTGAGGCTGCAGGTGAGGCAGCAGGTGAGGCAGCAGGTGAGGCAGCAGGTGACGCAGCAGGTGAGGCTGCAGGTGACGCAGCAGGTGAGGCTGCAGGTGACGCAGCAGGTGAGGCAGCAGGTGAGGCAGCAGGTGAGGCTGCAGGTGAGGCAGCCAGGTGTCTTATGCAATAGGGGCACATCGCTTGTCCAAAACCAGAATCATCTCCATCATGGATATGTGTCCAACTTTCTCATTTTCTTTGGAGCATGATGCACATTGCATTTATTCTAGTGTTAGGTAAATAAAAGTCCAACATTTCTATTCTATTCCATTTCTATTTCATTTAGAAATAGAAAGAATTCATCCTGAATTACCATGATTGATATAATGTATGTAATAATCAATCAAACTGCTTCTGTCATCAGTGAACGGGCAAACATAAACTTTTATTTGCACACATCAGAAATCTTTGGTTTGATTCCAGGCTCTGCCCAGATGTCATGTGAGAATCGCAAACAAAGATTTCTGACATGTGCAAAGAAGTTTGTTTTGCAAATCATTTTTTTAAGTCAGGAGAAAAAAATTTGTGATTTCAATTTTTTAAAAAATGAAGCTAAAAAATTTTTTTGTTTAAAAAAATGTTACAATTCAAAATGTCTTGTTCACAATTTTATATTATTTAATTGAGTTTAGTATTTTAATTGAATAATTGTGAAACAAATTGACCTCCATAGGAGAGGTCTCATTTTCTCATTTTCTCTGAAATTAATATTGTTATGCTATGGACTGAAAAACATATCAAGAATTGTTAGTGTGGTTTATTATTCTGATCATAATTCATTATGTTTTGCTTGTTTCAGTTCAAAGTTGCCACATAAAGACAGACGTCAGAAACAAACAAACAAAAAAAAGATCTGCTAGAAGCAGCCAAAGGTAGTGGATTGTTGACCAACTGGGTCAGAACCAGTACCGCCGGGGCTCAAACCCCTGAAGAAGTCAGTGGACACAGAAAGAAGAGGTGGTTGGTTCCAGGGGAGGCCAAAGGGTGAGCAAGGCTTTATCAGAGGATCCGTATGCAAATGATGAACGACAGGAAACTAATATTTTCTCACACACTCAAATTAAAATGGTTTATTTAACTAAGATGTGCCGGGACCAAACAAGACGTTAAACGGCACGATGGACCAGTGAACATGGAAATGTAAACTCAGAGCCCAGAATATGATCAAAAACTAATTCTCACAAATAAATAAATAAAACTGCAAGACAGTATCAGAGCTGACCAGCATCACCTTGCTGGTATTTATAAAGCTTTGAGAAACGCTGCTATGGTCAAATCAGCTTTGAATGGGAACAACTTGCTGCAAACTCAAAGCTGGGATACATTCAACACATCATCATTCTCCCATTTTGGTGGGAAGAAGCAAAATGTTTTACAAAGTCGTCCATGTTGAGGGTTTTTCCCTCCTTGACCCAACACTGAGAATGCCAAGATGACTTCAGCTGTCATCAGCCGTCGTTGTTCTAAGAAGGTTTTTAATCAGTTTTAGAGCAGAAAACTCACAGGATGCAGAACAAAACAGTTCATGAAAAACTGTACAAGGTTCCAGGAACACGACAAAGTCAAGTCGACAGTTTCTGGTTGGTGCGTGTGTAACAGAGTTTATGTTGTAGAATCCCACTTGCTTTATATATTATCAGTGCAAGGGGAAATAGCGCCTCCTCTCTGTGTGGCTGGTTATATGCTGCTGTAATCAGTGCCAGTCTATGGAAGCTGCAATAGAGGTGAGTTTCATTCCTCAGCACGGAAAAGTGTTAGAAACACATAAAGTATGATTCTTAATAACTTACATCAATAGTGTGCAACTACTATTTATGATTTGTGTGCCTGGCATCAATTTTGCACTTTTAGTTTTGTTAATATTTTGTAAAACACTTTCTGTGCTAAGTTAAAGTCAACGTGATGCTCTGTTGTAGTGTGCTGAGGGAAGCTGAGCCGTTGCATTGATTCCAACCCGATCTGTTCTCATTCAGGAAATAAACTGCCTGTTCACCCAGAACTCCTGGTCTTCATTAAAACATCTACACAACGCAGAGTCGAGGGGTTACTTGGGTCGGCCTGGTACAGCGGAGTGAAGCAGAACCCGGTTACACTGGATCCTGCAGGTTTTCAGGTTTTTGTTGACTCCATTACACAAGAGCTTGAGAAACGCTTTAAGGGAGCAGATAATGATGCTACCTGGGAAATATTCAATGCCCTGCACTGCCTGAAAATGGACCAAAGCAACATTTCCTCCAAAAGACCTTCAAGCTCTGAAGAAGCTCTGAGTTTCATCACATTGAAGAAAAATTACAGACAGAAGTGAAACTTTTTCACAGATCAGATTTTCCATCTTTCACAGTGTCACCTCTTCCTCCTCCTCCTCTTCCTCCTCCTCCTCTTCCTCTTCCTCCTCCTCCTCTTCCTCCTCTTCCTCCTCCTCTTCCTCTTCCTCCTCCTCCTCTTCCTCCTCTTCCTCCTCCTCCTCCTCCTCTTCCTCCTCCTCCTCCTCCTCTCCTCTCCTCCTCCTCCTCCTCTTCCTCCTCCTCCTCTTCCTCCTCCTCCTCCTCTTCCTCTTCCTCCTCCTCTTCCTCCTCTTCCTCCTCCTCCTCTCCTCTTCCTCCTCTTCCTCCTCCTCCTCCTCTTCCTCCTCCTCCTCTTCCTCTTCCTCCTCTTCCTCCTCCTCCTCCTCCTCTTCCTCCTCTTCCTCCTCCTCCTCTTCTCCTCCTCCTCCTCTCCTCCTCCTCTTCCTCCTCTTCCTCCTCCTCTTCCTCCTCCTCTTCCTCTTCCTCCTCCTCTTCCTCCTCCTCCTCCTCCTCCTCCTCTTCCTCCTCCTCCTCCTCCTCCTCCTCCTCTTCTCCTCCTCCTCCTCTTCCTCCTCTTCCTCTTCCTCCTCCTCTTCCTCTTCCTCCTCCTCTTCCTCCTCCTCCTCCTCCTCCTCCTCCTCCTCCTCCTCCTCTTCCTCCTCTTCCTCCTCCTCCTCCTCTTCCTCCTCTTCCTCCTCCTCCTCCTCCTCCTCTTCCTCCTCTTCCTCCCCTCCTCTTCTCCTCCTCCTCCTCCTCCTCCTCCTCCTCTTCCTCCTCCTCTTCCTCCTCTTCCTGCTCTTCCTCCTCCTCCTCCTCTCCTCCTCCTCTTCCTCCTCTTCCTCTTCTCCTCCTCCTCCTCTCCTCCTCCTCCTCCTCCTCCTCCTCCTCCTCCTCCTCCTCTTCCTCCTCTTCCTCCTCTTCCTGCTCTTCCTCCTCCTCCTCTTCCTCCTCTTCCTCCTCTTCCTCCTCCTCCTCCTCCTCCTCTTCCTCCTCTTCCTCCTCCT